TTCAGCCGGCTGAGAGGTGCTGTACGATCTGTCTTAAGTCGTCTTGCTCTTGCAAGGTTTTTGTACCATGTGACATGGTGACGCTTGACGTCGTTTTGCTGCGCTGCACAAAAAATCTAACCATAAAAAAAAAGGTTTTAAATTTTCTACATGAAGTGCAGGGAGACTATCAATTAATGGGTATGATTTAGTGTTGTTTTGTGCTATAGTATAGGCTGAAACCTGCAGCTATCATTAAAAACAAAATGGGATAATCGTAAGACAAACTTTAATTTGTGTACGCCAATGAAAATTAACAGGAATGTTAAATCTGCATTTGCATAATTTGAAACATATGCTGGACTTTTATTTTTAATTGATTGCTCTTTTTTCCCCCATAGTGGTGAAATTGCACCATTTGTATTTTATAATTGCATTTGTTTCGCTCAATTAGAAAAGGGAGTTGTATTTCAAATAAAGTTTGAATCTGAACCTGTGTAGTTTGAATGGGGGGCTCAATAAAGTTTCTATCTAGAAAAGGGGGGCCCTACAGAGAAAGTTTGGGGACCACTGTGCTAAAAGAAACCCATAGCAGAAAGGCAAGTCATAGGAGAAACAGGTTAGGCAAGCAGTCCCTAGGTGTGTTACCTAGCAACAGGACACTCAGTCACAGTCACCAGGTGACCAAAACCTGACTAAGACTGTTGCTTGATCTGCAGAGTGCAGCTTGCGCTTATAGGGAGAGGTGTTACTGTTTTCAGAGTACCAGCATATCTTTCACTGGAGATCTAAGACCAGTTACATGTCTTAAAAAAACAGTGAATTATTAAATCAAACTAACTTGCTCATTTGCCCCTTGTGTTAAGCCTCCGTCTTTAACTCTTCATGTTTTGCCCCCTTATTTATGCCTCCTTCCTTGCCCCTTCATGTTTTGCCCTCTGATTTATGCCTCCTTCCTGAGCTCTTCATGTTTTACCCACTGATTTATACCTCAATCCTCAGCTCTTCGTGTTTTGCCCCCTGATTTATGCCTCCTTCCTGAGCTCTTCATGTTTTGCCCCCTGATTTATGCCTCCTTCCTGAGCTCTTCATGTTTTGCCCCCTGATTTATGCCTCCTTCCTCAGCTCTTCGTGTTTTGCCCTACTGATTTATGCCTCCTTCCTTTCCCCTTGTTTTTAATCTTCTTCCTTATCCTAATCCTAACCCTAACCCTAACCCCACCATTCTCCCTGTACCACTGGCCTTTGCCATGGCCAGCACGCCGTCCTCATCTGAGCTCCCTTTTCTCGTGGCTTGTTGAAGCACAGCTGATCTGTTCCCTTCCCTGTCTGCTGATGCAATCTATGCAGTTGGCCAGTAATTTTTTTGACTAGAACAGTGCAGCTGTAATATAATCTTCCTAATGCAAATTGTCACAGAATATTAAATTGCTGATGAATTTTTTGCTATATATTTGGATTTGCTTTTTAATTTTGCTGTTCAAAGGTTGGCATATGTTTCATAATAAATAAAGATTATGAGGAATATGTTTTATCATTAGCACATTGAGCATATTTTGACACGGCAAGGCAGGATTCTTTAGAAACATCTCTTTCTGTAATACTATTCCTACTGTGTGTGCATATTCTGAACATCTAGTGATAATAGATTTATTAAAACCTAACCTTTCAGCAGTTTATGTGTAACTTAACTTTCGACTGTGGCTTTGACTTAGTCTGCTGCCCTTAAACTGCTATATGTTGTTGCAAAATGCTATTGCCTCTGCCTTAACTCCTTCTCAGAGTCTTATGCCAGTGACAAAGGAATTACTGACTCCTAATTACGGAGGTTTGCTTGGGAGGATCCTTATTTGTCATATAGATTGGGGGATATCAAAGCAGAGAGTGTAATACCTGGAATTGCTGACTCCTGATTACTGGGGATTGCATGGACATAGGCTTATCTGTCACAGAGGTTGGGGGATAACAAAGCAGAGAGTGTAATACCTGGGCAAAGCAGGCCTGCATCAAACCAAACAGGCACACAGCAGTTGCTATGAGAGGCATACAGGGAAGCACCAACATCCAGAGCTCAAAGCCACACCACCTCTTTGTCCATTTCTACAGGACCGCAACAAACAAGTAACAACAGCAATAGCTACTAATTATCTGTCAAAATATAGTATTTCTATCCCAAGATTATTTATTCTGAGCAAGATGACCTAGGGTCCTGGAGTCTGTCCATGGTGTCATAAGGCTCAAGACTGTGGCACACCCTGGATGGGAAGCCTGTTCATCATGGGGCACAGAGAACGAGCAAGTGAACGAACGAGCGAGCGAGCGAACGAGCGAGCGAACTCGGCGCACACTCATAGAAAGCAAAATTCAGACCCTGAACCCAACATGGAGAGAGCATGCAGACACGGCGCACACACCTGACAGGCTCTGAACACAACAAATGCCTTTTGCTTGTTTTTGCTTCGTTTTCTATTTGCCTTGACCTAAAAGAGTGAGAGTAAGCTGACTGATCCCTTTGCATCATCATTGCAGGCTGGAGAGTCTGGTGCCAGTATTCCTTTTGTCTACCCCTTATACAGTATATATATAAGAATTAATTATGATTTGTTTCATATCCCAGTGCAGCCCTTGGTATCTCACCCATGGGTTGCAATTATACCATTTGGTTTAATTTGTCCCCAGTAACCTTGTTGTTTTATCTTGATCATTTTGGCAAAACAGCTCCTTTTTGTGGTATTTTTTGTGTTGTGTTGATCTGTTCTATGCCCTGGCCCTGGTTCTGAAATGAAAAACCCGAAGCTAGAATAAATACATCCTTCAGTGCCCTGCCCCAATATCACTCAGCAAATTGTAGTTTTAAAATACTTTTCAAAGAAATGATAAAACAAGTGTCATAGCGCTTATAATTAGCTGCATGTTGGTGCAGGAAATGCAGCGAACAAATCAAGAGACCAGCTTGTGGGCAGCTCTCTGTCCTCCAATCAGAGATGCTTCCTGGGGATTATACCCCTCTCAAGGGAAGGGTGGGACTGTCATATGGATGGTTATAGGTAGCAAATTTCAATGTATGACCTTGAAGTTTAGGAAGAAGACTGACTTCTGGGACTGACTGGTTTTCCAGTAATTACAGGGAGGTAATCAAAGGGTTCAGTAAGAGGTTGTGGAAACCCATCAATGCACTATTATTGCTCTGGATTTAAGGATTTGTAACAAATCAAGAAATGAATAAGGAAGCTAAACACCTTCAAGGGCTGGCGTCCATCTTCAGGAGATATTAAGAACTCTATGGAGGAAGAAGATTAGGAAAGTTTTAAACTAAGTATTATATATTATATATTTCACAGATTCACTCTGGATACTCCAGTTTCCTGCTGCTGCCCAAAAGACATGTTAGGTGAATTGGTGATACAAACACCCATAGTGTGTGTGTCCTGCAATGGACTGACATCCCACTTAGCGTCCCCTGCTTTGGGCTTTGTGTTTATTGGGAGGGACTCCAGGATCACCGTGATGGTTATGGATTATATTATACTTGTATTATCTTACAGGTAGTGCTTCTGAGTTAATGATGACGAGATCAGCTTGCATAATAGCTGCCGTCTGGGTGCATATGTGGTGTAAATAGCAGATCGGCTTCTAAGGCTCACATGCCTTGATCTGGCTGTGCTGAATGGATTCTTAATGGAATCCTAGTATGACTGAGCAGGAAAGAAAAATAAATATGACTAAAAGAGGCTCTGTCTTAATCAAAGGAAGTGCTGCAGCCTGAATGGCATTTCTATTCCCCACTCTACGAGAGCACTTTCGTTATTGTTTTTCAAGGCTTTGTGATTCATAGGCAAAAGAACATTGAAGAAGATGTACCAAATGCTCTCAGTTCATCTATTAGAATCTATTTCAAATTGTTTGACATTTGCCTTCAGGTTATGCTGTAAGTTCCTTTGATCTTCCTACAGTAGTTGTCTTAGGTCAGGGGTCTCCAACTCCACTACTGGAGAGCTACTGTCCTGTAGGTTTTCTATTCTCCCAGGCTTCTGATGAGCCACACCTGTTCCTTGTATTTACCTGAGAGTATTATTATCATCAGAAGCCGAGTATGATAGAAAACCATCTGGACAGTAGATGTCAGGGACCGGAGTTGGAAACCCCTGCCTTGTGGTCTTGTGCTTTCTCTCTGTAGTATGTCCCAGTATTCTTTACCCATGTTACTCTGGAGTGAGTCTGTTGTTCTGATCAAGTGAGAAGAATGGTTTTCATTGTGATAAATATTTGGGGAAAAAAAGTCTTCCCTTTTTTTGAGAAGCACTGAATGATAGGTGTGTTGTTCAGTTCCGACATATTATGTCCATCTAATCAGATTCTCTGATGAGACCCAGTGGTGCCAAAGACATTGATTAATCATGCAGACTGATCGTCAACCTCAGCGCTTCCTTAAGTTCCAGTTAGCATCTTGGTGGCCATATATTGTGGTTCTCATATGGAGAGACTAGGTGCCAGCTGTGCTGCTACAGCAGATGTGCTTGCCTGCGCCCACCTACCCCCCCACCCCCTTGCCACCCTGAAAGGGAATCTGATGTCACAAACATCTCTTCAAATCTACTAGTTTACATTTATGTGCACCTCTCTGTATACCATCTCACACTTAATGCATCTGGCACTTCGGTGTGGCTGAATCCTACCCCTAATTGCAATGTCCCCCCACCCGTGTCAACCCCAGCTCCGTTTTGCTGCACCCCCCCGGTTCCCCAGTTGCTGTTTCAGCCAAAGAGGATGCTTAAAGGAGGCCAATGAGGCTGCCCTTTTGTGGCAGAGAAATCATCAGCGCTGGGAGCATCCATCTGTGGTGACTGACATTCTCCCTAACCCCCCTGCATCTCCCTCCACACACACACACACACACACACACACACACACACACACCGGCTCACACAAAAACACGCCACCCATTCAGCCCCCTCCCCCTCTATCATCTACCCTCTCTCCCTCTCGCTCCCATATCTGTGCTGCTTTCACAGCAAGCCTCCTGCACATTATTCCTTGGCCATATAAGCTGCATGAAGGTGGCTAAATGCAGCCGACACACTCCGTAGGCTGGAGCCAGGGACGCTGCGCCCCCCCATCCCGTATCCGGGAACCACGGGTTTGTGTCGCCGAGGCACGGAGATGCAGGCAGCTGGACAAGGGGCTCATCTCTCTGCCTGACTGCTGGTTTCCTCCGCTTCTCATTTCTGCGTCTGAATTATTCACCTTTTGCACATGTAAATAAATTGCGTGGCATGGCACAGCGGTGAGATCCAGCCCGGACCCTGGCTGAAGTCCTTCAGCACGTATGGATGTCTTTAGCTTTGTGAAGATGCCAAAACTCTCAGGGTGAGTGTCCTGCAAGCTGCCTGGCTGCTCTTGCATGCTCAAATGCTGCTGGTATGATTGACAGAGTCCGGTCTGTTTGGGAGTGGGCTACGGTGGGGTTGGGGGGGACCTATGAAATGCGAGTAACTGCCACTGTAACCATTAGTGACATGGTATTGGGAACTATATATTTGTAACTTTTATATAAATAGTGGAGAGATTGTTCTATTTGGCATAATTGTAAAAGAGGAATTTTTGGAGGAAAATCTTGCAACAGTAGGCAACTGTGGGTGGGGGAGGGGGCAGATTATAACCTTAAACTTAGCAAAGTGCTCAGAGGTATATCAGCAACTCTAACAGCACAAACAAAGCTTGCTGCAATATAACAGCCTACCGAGTCATAGGAAGTAGGACTAGGGTAATTATTATTGTGCCCATATTGAATTTTTCCTAAATCTACTACTTAAATGAACATTAATGATTTATTATGAGTATGTTTACCAGTCAAAAAGGGATAATAAGTAAAGGGCATATTACAGGACATTAATGGAATTTGGGAGAGCCTGTTTATGATACAGAAATGGTGCAGAGCTGTCACAATAATAAAAACCAGTGCTGCTGTTAACACATGGCAAGCTGCATTTGGCCCATTGTCTAGGGTGCACATGGTGCAGAGCTGTCACAATAACAACACCCAGTGCTGCTGTTAACGCATGGCAAGCTGCATTTGGCCCATTGTCTAACGTGCACATGGTGGGGTGACCATGACATAGTTATGGTATTAATAAAATCAAACATCTTTCATAATGAAGGCATTATTCAATGAACAAATGATGAGATGAATGAATGAGTTCATTTTCCCAAATCCTCAGTGGTGCTGCCCATGTTTTTTTTTTTCTTTCCTGTCAAGACAATTTTCACCTGTAATGCAAGAAATCTCATCTGTGATTAGCATGCTTCGTCAGCAGATCCCCTTATGGCTCAGGAAGAACTGTTATTTTTTATGTGTTATCAGGAGAAAACAGTCCTTTTAGTTTACACTAAATGTAAGGACAGAAATGATAGTCAATCATTTCATTAATAACATCACCAAGAATCTGGATGCTTATAGACGTGATATTTGTTATTATTAAAACTGACAATGTGCACTGTGGAAAATGTTTAATGTTGCCTCACCAGTTTTGAATTAATCATGTTCATATATATATTAGGGCTGTCAAAATTAACGGGTTTACGCGGATCAATCCATCATCATGATTAATTTGATTAAAATTTTTAACGCAATTAACCCATCTGCAGCACAGAATGACTCAAAATCCCTGAAATGTCCCGTTAGTGACGGCATGCGCGCTCCCGTTTGTTAGAGATCCGAGAAATATCTCGGAGCAGCACAGAGGATCCCGAGTTCAGAATCCAAGATGGCTACACCTTTTATCAACAGAAGGGAAAGTTGTAGTTTTATACTGTTTAAGCACTACTTCTCATTTGTGGCTCATTAAATCGGTCGCACACACTATACCGAGAGAGAGAGAGAGAGAGATAGATAGATAAAAAAATTACTGAGATTACTGAGCCACTTTGGAGTGTTTTGGAGGAGTGGCTGAAATGAGTTTAGACAGAAATGTTTCTCAGTATAATTCACACTGAGCACAAAATAGATGTTCCTCTTTCAAATGAGTGTTTGTTTAGCAAGTAACTATGTTTTGAGGCACAGTTCTTGCAGATCCAAACTCATACACTTTGTCAAAATTACATTTTATAGTCATTTGCTATGAGTCAGCTCACCTGTACTGTTCATTAAAGTCTACACCATTGCATCTGTAATGTTTAACATGTCTCAAAAGACATGTTTGAAATTTAAAAGAAACTGTTTCAATTAAAAGGCAGTTTTCTAAAAATCCCTTGAGGTCATGTTAATAAATATGGGAGCCCTTTCCCTGATTCAGCATACTGAGAATCTGTGATCCTAAACAAGATGTGCTCTTATCCAGCATCCAGCCATTTCCCATTTCCATTCAGCACAGTGAGTATCTGTGATCCTCAGCAGAATGCAGTGTGCTCTTATCCAGCANACAGTGAGTATCTGTGATCCTCAGCAGAATGCAGTGTGCTCTTATCCAGCATCCAGCCATTTCCCATTTCCATTCAGCACAGTGAGTATCTGTGAATCTAAGCAGTGCGGTCTGCTCTTTTCCTGCTGTTTCTCATAGCCACTGATTCTGTAGCACTTGCAGTCATCAAAGGACACACTCATGCCCCTGGGTAACTTTGACACAGCGATTCACCAGGCCATATGGTTCTGTGGTGTGGGTGGAAACCTCAGCAAACACAAGGGGAACATGCCAGCTCAACATGCCAGCGTCAGACTGAGAGTCAAGCCCAGCGACAGCATTACCCACTGAGTCATCATGCCATTCTACCCTCTCATTATCCTTAAATTCGCATGTAAATGAAACCTATAAAAGAATGTTAAGTCGCTTTTGCATTACAGCCAAAGATGCATGTGTCTGCTGCATGCCCAGAAGAGTGTAGCTTTGCAGGCACAGTGCTGTATGATGGCAGGCTGCTGTCGGGGGTCATCGGGAACCATCATTGGATATGTGAAACTAAGCCTGCCGAGATGGCTGCAGAAATGTTGAATGCCAATGGCAGCCTATGATTTTAGTCTAACCCCTAGCTCTTCCATCAGATGCTATGGGCTCATTGTTTTACTCTAATGTGTAAACATTTTAAATGTTTAATTCTACCACAGGACATGAATAGCATTTCTGAAAAGTAACATTTGAAAGATTCTACAGACCTAAACATCTAAAAACAATTAATAGCATTCATAACAGTCAAACAATACCAAATTTTAGTTTAGTCATACGTTTGAATTCTAGATTATAAAGAGTACAAAGAATTCCTGACAAGTATGACATCTTATAAAAGATGAAAATTGCCTCAACTACCAATATTAAATAAAGAACTAAAAAATTCAATATGTCCAAAAATGGAGGGGACACTACATATTTGTGCTTTACAGTACAGTGGTACCTCGAATTTAATCCGTTCAGAACTCCAGATTGAATCCTAAAAAGTTCAAGTTGTGGTCGAATTTTCGCCATAAGCAATAATGGAAAACCAGTTAATTACACCTAAATATGTTTTTTTTAGCATTTAAACACAAAATGAACCAGACAAAACAAGAAGAGCATATACTGTACCAAACACATCTAAGCACATTTATCAAAACAGTAATTTGTAAAGTAAGAAAATAAATGCATCCGAACAATGTGTAAAGTTAAAAAAACAATGTGTCCTGCCCCAATCGTCCGCTCCTTCCGTGTGCCACGCCCCCTCGTTAACCCCGTGTGGAATCCCCGTGTGATCAGATGTTTCTGGTTGTTGTCATTAGTCCTCTGTATTTAGTCCGCGTTTCAGTTTGTTTCCCCAGTCTGGTTATTGTATTGTCCGTCTGCGTTTTGCCTGCCTTACCTGTAATTAAACCCCGTATTCCCCGATACCCTGACGTCTGCGCCTTTGTCTCCCTTCCGTCCCCGCTCGGCACGATAATATTATTATAATTAAATGTATTAATGGTTTATTATTAATATTAAAATAATTAATAAGAAATCTTTATTTTTAAATATATTTTATTATATAATAATTACTGTTACTGTCTATCATTGTGTAAATGTATTTTTTACTGTCTAAATATATGTATTCAGCTAGTGTAAACATGCACGATGCTATCACAGCGACTGCAAAGCTTAGACTGAAGAGTTTCCCTATGTTTCCACTGAGAGACGTGCCGCGTGACTCATTTCCCCGCGCATACAAGTTATCTTAGGTCGGCGTTCACGGTTTGAGTTCTGAGATTCAGATCGAGTTCTAGGTGATTTTTTTTTTCCGAACTGGTTGGTAGAACTTTTAAGAAATTCAAGTTCTAATGAGTTTGAGAACTGAGATACCACTGTACTTTACTGGCTATCATTATCTCTTAATCTCTTGAAATGAAACTGAAGCTAAAATAATATAAATACAAAACAAACTATATCATAACTTTAGACCTTAAATAAATAGCATGTAGTGTCACAATGATGAACTATCAAAGAAGAGCAAATTTAAAATGCATTGTCTTAATAGAGCCACTGCGGTATCGAGCTGTTGTGTACCTCCTAATTTTTTTCTGTTGTAATTCCATTCCCAGCTGATCAATTCTCAGCGTTTTTTCCAGCTTGGGGGCTTCTTTTCTCATCATAATTGTTTAAGGAAACATTTCCTGTAATTTATTATCCAGTACTAGCTCCCCCCAAACATTGTGGAAACTTTATATTGTCTGATTTTTTTCCGCCAGTCAATATATTGGTCAAGGTGGTGTCTCTTTTAATTGATTCATCTTGTTTCGTCCTAATCTGATTAAAAATCCTTTCCCTACTCCCTTAAATAATATGCATGCTTAATGAAGTGGTGCTCCTACTGGAACAGGCTGAAACCAGCCTATGAAGCCATGTTCTCCAGAAGTATGTTTTGGTGATGGATGTATCTGTGTGCCCTATAGTCAACAGGCAGTATGCTTTCTGTTCATATAGGACATTTTTACCACAAATGTTTAATTTAGAATTACTTTTAATATCACATGCCTTGCACTTTGAAAAAAAAGAAAAAAATGTGTTGGGTTAAATTCTGGGAGGAAGCTATGGCATGTGCAAGTCATTGATATTTTCTTATGCATAAGTGTATTAAAATTGGATGAGAGAGGGATATAGGGCTCTCGAAGGAACAAACAGGCACGCTTAGGTTCACTCAAAAAAACACTTTAATAAGTAGTACAAAATAACCTCGCATTAACATCAATACCGAGCTATCGTATCGAATGTAATGCAAAATAACCTCATACTACAAGGGATATAGAATAGTATATATCATACGAACGAATATATATAGAAAAGAAACAATAAAATATAGAAAATGCGAATTATTATCACGAGCGTTGATAATCAATCCCCATAATCAATTAAACGCATAAGCAGCTGCAA